GGAACTCACTGTGGTGTAACCCAGGCTGGCCGGGAGCTCACTGTGGTGTAACCCAGGCTGGCCTGGAGCTCACTGTGGTGTAACCCAGGCTGGCCAGGAGCTCACTGTGGTGTAACCCAGGCTGGCCGGGAGCTCACTGTGTAACCCAGGCTGGCCCTGAGTTTGAGGCAATCCTTCTGCCTCAGCCACTGCACCCAGCAAGGTTTCTATTTCATTTTGCTTGCGGTTTTGTTATGCTGAGGATCAAACATGGTGCTTTAAACGTGTTAGTCCAGCTCTCTACCACTGAGCTGCAGCTCCAGCCCCAAGGACCTGCCTGTAACACCTTTACTAGGAAGGATTCCCACCAGAAAACAGGGCAAATGATGGAGTTGGTGAGAACAAGAGTTTTGACCGAGATCAACGTGCCTAGGACGTGAGGTCGGTGCTGATGATGCCAGGGCTCGGGTGAGCTCCATGTCTAGCAAGGGCTATTACGGTGATAAATCAGACCTTGGGACAAGTCGAGGTCTAAGGGAAATCTGGTTCCTCCTGGTGATGTCTTGAGAAAGCTAGATCCTAGATTCTGCCTTTTCCATCTACGGACGTGTGGACTTTCCACAGCTGTCACGGCCAGTAAGTATGCTGCTGTCCCTGACCAGCAGAGAACACTCACACAGATGTCCATAGCTGGTGCTTTGCCGAATCCTCAGGTCCTCGGTGGAGCGGCGCAGAGTCGGGCCTGCCGAGGGACTCCTGGCCGAGCTGCGATCTGCAAGGGGAAGGAAGGCATGCGGTTCCAGTTTCCTTGCGGCTGCAGCCTCCCTGATCAGCACAGGGGCCATGCAGCCACTGCAAACTAAACAACGCTACCACAAGACATCTCCCCTTCTGAAAATATTTTTTTAGGATTACTTATTTATTTAGAAGAGGGCATCAGATCTCACTACAGATGGTTGTGAACCACCATGTGGATGCTGGGAATTGAACTCAGGACCTCTGGAAGAGCAGCCAGTGCTCTTAACCTCTGAGCCATCTCTCCAGCCCCCCAAAAATAAGTTTTAAAGGAACAGTGTGAATTAGATTACACAGGACCGGGTCTGGAGAGATGGCTCAGTGATTAAGAGCACTGGCTGCTCTTCCAGAGGACCCAGGTAAATATGTGTACAGTTGAAAGGGAGACAGAATTCTCAGTTGGTCAAATCAACACTGGCTGCAGCAGGCTACCTACCTTTAGAATCTCTGATCCTGCCACTCACTGGCTTCTGTGTTTGTCTTCTGGGATTACCAGGGCTAGGGCCTTCAGACTTCTCAAATACTGAGATCCAGTAGCTAGAGTGGACAGTCTTCTCTCCCCAAATGGCCCCAGGCTTTACTAGTCATAATGACACTAGAAGCCAGGTATACAAGCCCTGGCACACTTGAGGTGACCCCAATGCTCCCACCACCAATACAGGCTGTGAGCCATCTGTTCCTAGAAACTGCTGTGCTCTGGTGTCAGGGACAACATGGAATATGGCTGGCCACCCCAAGGACCTCCAGAGAAGGTGGCTGGAAGAGCCTCAGAACCTCAGAATGTCTTCAGGATGGTAACGTCAGATACTTCCAGCCACTGAGATGGGCTCCCCTGGCCACATGCCCTGTGCCCACCAGTGAATAGCCCTACTCACGTGTAGTGGAGACCGACTTCCCAATGTCTGCAAGGGAGAGGTGGATGGGCTTCTTGGTTTGGTGACGATGCTTCCTCAGGAGCACGTAGCTGACCCTTTCCCGGAGCTCTGGTCGCAGAAGCCCATCCTCTATCTGCTTCTCAATGACATCATCTGGATGAGAAACAAACAAGCCAGACCCATGCGGGACAGAAAGAGCCTAAAGCTTTGGGGGCTTGGTTCTTCCCTGCTGTTACTGGGACTGAATATGGGCAAAGGGATGAGGGGCTTGAAAGTAGTTCTGCTGCCTTGCCACTCACTGTTGGGACTGCCACCCCCAATCTCTTCATATATGAAGCTGTGTATACATCTCCAGGTGTGTGTGCATGTGGACAGAAGTCTGTGTTCTTTCTATCCCTGTTGTGAATGAAACAGGACCTTTGAAAGTGCGCCAGGATGCTGTGTTACATGACTTTCATCCCCCCAAATGAATTCTTTTTTAGAAAGAAATAGTTACAGCAAAACTAAGTGCACTCAATAGAATAAAAATCACAAGATTCTTTAGGGATGTGAGGCAAGCCAGCTCCTCATTTGACACTCCAATAAGTGGGAGCTGGTTTGCTAAAGAAGAAAGATTGGAGCCAGGCGGTGGTGGCACATGCCTTTAATCCCAGCACTCGGGAGGCAGAGGCAGGCGGATCTCTGTGAGTTCGAGGCCAGCATGGGCTACAGAGAGTGAGCTCCAGGAAAGGTGCAAAGCTACATAGAGAAACTCTGTCTTGGGAAAAACAAACAAACAAACAAAAACAAAAACAGAAAAAAAAGAAAGAAAAGAAAAGAAGAATGATGGTCCATTTTCCTCTGAAAAGAAACAAGTTGCCATGGCAACAGTAGTCTCTGCCCATTCAAGGATGGGCCTGTCTGCTGCCTCACTGAACCACATTCCAAGGATGCTCTTCTCCTAGTGGCTGGAGGTCTGTGTAGTGTAGAAACTAGGGCATCTAGGCCACTGCCTAGACAGCTTCAGAATCAAAATTCATCTCTGCAGAATCAGGCGAGAGTTGAACTGGCCAGTCACATGGCCTTGCAGGTTGACATGAGGCTGGGGGAATTGCCCTAGTTTGTGCGGACCACAGCAGAGATGCCTTGGCCTCACCTATGATCTGCGGTAGGGAGCTGCTGTCCAGATCCAGCAGCACCGTCCCTGTCTGCAGGCAGGTGCGGAGCTCAAAGAGGCTGTGCAAGGACAGTGTGGACACATGGGGCTTGCTCCAGCGTTCTCCTCCTTCCTCCACCTTTTCTTCAAATTTTATCCACCTGGAAGAGATAGGAACAGGGCTGAGCATGGCCAGAGTCCTCAGGGGGAGGCCTCTCCCAGGTCTCCCCAATAGTGCTGTACAAAACTTTCCTCTGAGATAGAAACATTCCATCTGCAGGAAGGTCCTTAAACAGGAGGCAGACAACTCAAAATAGCTTCAGGAAGTCCCTGAAACCGACCAGATTCCCTAAACAATAAAAGCTGAGAGTCCCTCTCAGATGAGCAAAGTTGAGCTGCCAAGGAGACTCTCAGACAAGCCAAGCTACCTGAAAGAGAAAGAAACCAGCTGAGCTGCCTGGAAGAGGTTTAGACCAATTGAGTCACTTGTGTGCACGTTTGCCTGTAGGTAAGTGCACTGTGTGCATGAAGTGCCTGCAAAGACCAGAGGAGGGCCTCAGATCCCCAGGAACTGGTTACAGATGATTGTGAGCTATCATGTAAGTTCTGGAAACCAAATCCTCTGCAAGAGCAGCCCCTGCTTTTAGTATTTCTCCAGCCCCTCATCTTGTAGTTTGTTTGTTTGAGGTAGATATTGACCAAATTCAAAGAACAGTAATGTACCAGGAGATATATTTGTCATAGAGCACCAAAAGACTACCATTTATAACAAAACTTCCATTTAATAAGAAAAACTCATGAAATGAGACATTCCTGGGAGAAATGATGAGGAATGAAAATATAGCCGTTTACTAGTGACCTGGGCTTTTTAGTTACTACAAATGCAGTAACACCTTCATTTCTCAGACTGCCAAAACTAAAGACTGGGGTTGGAGAGATGGCTCAGATGAAGGGCTCTCACTACTCTTACAGAGAACCTAGGCTCAGTTCCCGCACCCATGTCATAGGAACAACTGTCTTTAACTCACTCTTGTTTCAGGGGATCTGGCGCCCTCTTCTGGCCTCCACAGGCACTGCATACACATGGTGCACATACACACATGCAGGCAAACACTCATACATATAAAATAAAATAAATAAATCTTTTGTTTTTGTTTTTGTTTTTTTGAGACAGGATTTCTCTGTGTAGCTTTGTGCCTTTCCTGGATCTCTCTCTGTAGACCAGGTTGGCCTTGAACTCACAGAGATCCACCTGCCTCTACCTCCCAAGTGCTGGGATTAAAGGCGTGTGCCACCACCGCCCGGCAAATAAATAAATCTTAAGAACAAACTATAAAACCACCACTAACAACAACAAACCTAAAAAGACTGACAATGTTCTGTGTTGTTAGACAGCATGTCACAGTGTGCCACAGATGTAGCGTTAACCAATTTCTTTCCATAGTTAGTGTATGTACCTTTTGACCCAGTGGCTGTTTCTAGGGGTATGACAGGCATGCAATCCCAGGCCTACTCCTGTAAAATTAGTACAGAGATGCTTCCTACAGCTTTGTATGCTAGGTGAAGAACTGGTTTTCAGTTGAAGCATAATGAAGACCCACAGAGGTAAATAAAAAGCATAAGTGAAGGAGGACTAAAGAGGTGGCTGAGTGGTTAAGAGCACTTGTAGATATTCCCAGAACCCATGTCAGATAGTTCATAACTCCCTGTATGCAGCTCCAGGGAAATCTGATGGCTCTGACCTCAGCAGGCAATGGCACATATTCCCTGGCCACCCCTCACCCCCCAAGCACATAATTAAAAATGATAAAAATTTGAATTTAAAATACTCAGAACGGCCTAAGAAAGATCACCATAGACCAGCAACATTGGCCTCAGAGGCACAAGATGGAGATACGTGCTGGCCAGAGGTAAAAGCACTGGTCCTAAAAGCCCATGTAAAAGCACGATATAAAAGCACTGTAATCCGCACGCTCCCAAGGGAAGATGGGCGTGACGATGGGAAGCCACGCCCTGCTCTGAGTTTAGCGGAAGATCCAGCACAGGGATGCGATCTACAGCAAGAGGACGTGGAAAGCCGGTATCTTTCAACGCAGAAAGTCTCTCTGTGTTGCCTGGCTGGCCTGAACTCACTGTGTGGGCCAGACTGGCTTTGAACTCACAGAGATTCATCCGCCTTTGCCTCCCAAGTTCTGGGAATAAAAACACGTGCTGCTACACCAACCCAACTAGCTGTGTTTTTAAAACAATAGGTGAGCTGATCTAAGAAATGTGGTCGCTGCTGCACAATCTGATGAAATGAATGAACTCTTGTCGTTTCTTTTTAGATATTGCAATGATTTCATTGTAATTACCTTCATTTTATTTTAGAGACTGGATCTTGCTCTGTATGTAGCCCAGGCTGGTCTAGAACTCGAGAACTTCCTACCTCAGCCCCCCAAAGCTAAGATTTCAGACTATCCTTACCAGGCCAGCCAGGTGACAGTGTTATTGCAGTTACACTAAAAAGGTGACCTTGTATGAAGAGTAGAAGAGTTGGAGACAGCCCCTGCTCCTGCTGTTAGGAGTCCCAGAAGGGGAACAAGCTGCACCACCATAACATATGTGCAGAGGGCCGGGGTCAGTCCCCTGCAGGCTCCCTGGTTGTCAGTTCAGTCTCTCTGAACCCCTAAGAGCCCAGGTTAGTTGATTCAGTGAGTTTTCTTGTGGTGTCCTTGACCCCTCTGGCTCCTACAATCCTTCCTCCCCATACTGGGTCTCCTTGCCCAGCCCTAATACATGGGGAGGTGCTTAGTGTTACTGCAACTGGAAATGCCATGTTTTTTTGTTTTGTTTTGTTTTTGTTGTTGTTTTGATACTCATGGGAGACCTGCCCTTTCCTAAACAGAAACAGAGGAGGAGTGGATTGGGAGGTGGGAACAGAGGGGGTTGGGGGAGGGGAGGGAGGGGAAACTGCAGCTGCGATGTAAGTAAGTAAATAAATAAATACATTAATTTATTTTTTTTAAAAAAGGTGCCCTCAGGCTGGAGAGATGGCTCAACAGCTAAGAGCACCTGTTGTTCTTGCACAGGACCTGGGTTTGATTCCCGGCACCCACATGATGACTCACAACTGTCCATAACTCCAGTTCCAGTGGACCTGATGCCCTCAGCTCAACAGGCATCAAGTATACATGTGGCATACAATACACACACAATAATAACATAAATAAATCTAAAAAAAATTTAAAGAAGGTGACCTCATTTTTTTTTTTTTTTTTTTTTTTTTTTTTTTTTTTGGTTTTTCGAGACAGGGTTTCTCTGTGTAGCTTTGTGCCCTTCCTGGAGCTCACTTGGTAGCCCAGGCTGGCCTCGAACTCACAGAGATCCGCCTGGCTCTGCCTCCCAAGTGCTGGGATTAAAGGCGTGTGCCACCAACGCCCGGCATGACCTCATTTTTTAGAGACAAAAACTCAAGCATTTGCAGGTGGAGTGATATGGCAGCAGTTGGGACTTAGGTTAATATAACCGAGTATATGTCTGGAGCAGGGTGTGGGGGACCTTGAGATTGGCCACACGTTAACTGGTAACAGTTGAAAAGTGGGCGATGGGTACATGGAGGTGCATTCTAATACACACTACTTCCGTGTAAATTTGAACTTTCTGTAACCCAAATGCTTAAGTAGTTTCTAAATTGAATAAAGGCACAGGCTCTTTCTAAAGTCTCTGGTCAAAGCCAGGCTTACAAGCTTGCGGGTACCTGATGGAACGGTTCATGTAATCCCAAACAATTCACTGCAAAGCAACCTTTATACCACAGTTGGCTTCAAAAGGCATGAATTAGATTTGGAGAAGCAGGTCAAGTGGAAAGAAAATCTCTGAGTTGGAAAAAAGACTTTTAGGTATTTCATCCAGCCCCGGTCAGTGCCCTGGCCTCCTCTTCCGTGCATGCTGGAGGCAGGAGCCAGGTGCCCCCTTCCCTGAACAGAACCTTGAAGGGTCACATGTTCCAGAAAGCGGCTCTCTGTCACCAAGAGGGAGGTCCAGACCTGAGGCCTTTTCTGCAGCTGGTAACTGGACAGGTTGCTGCTGATCCAGACATAACAAGAGCACGAGAGAGAGAGAGAGAAAGAGAGAGAGAGAGAGAGAGAGAGAGAGAGAGAGAGGGAGGGAGGGAGGGAGGGAGGGAGGGAGGGAGGGAGGGAGGGAGAGTCCAGGGGCAAGGCACCAGGTACCATCCAGGGAAGGAGCTAGCCCACCAGGAAGGTCTAGAAATGGCTGAAAGCCAAGACAGCTGGGGCTCAGTGGGTAGAGTGCCTGCCCACAATGCAGGAAGCCTGTTTGATCCCCACGCACCACTGAAAAACAACCGGCACGGCCAGGGGCAGTGGCGCACACCTTTAATCCCAGCACTCGGGAGGCAGAGGCAGGTGGATCTCTGTGAGTTGGAGGCCAGCCTGGTCTGCATAGTGAGATCGAGGCCAGCCAGGGCTACATAGTGAGACCCTGTATCAAACAAAAACAAAACAATGATCAAACAGCAAAACCCAGCATGATGGTGCAGGCACTCGGGAAGTAGAAGCAGGAAGATCAGAAATTCAAGGTTGGCTGACCCGATGGCTCAGTGGGTAAGGGTGCTTGCCGGGAGTCCAGTGATCCAGTTCATGATGCCGGGAACTCACGTAAAGGTGGAATGAGAAAACCACCTCGGCAAAGTCACCTCTGCCCCACATCCTGTGACTGCGCAGGCACACGCATGCATAATAAATTTTAGATAATTTAAACAAAGAAGTTCAAAATCATTCCCAGCTACATGGCTGAGTTTGAGGCCAAGTCCAGAGCACTGGGAATCAGATGTCAGTGTTATTTAAAGAAGACATGGAAGGGTTGCTGAGACAGCTGGGCTGTTTAGAGCACTGGCTGCTCTTGCAGAAGACTAGGGTTCGATTCCCAGCACCCACATGGTGGCTCACACCCATCTGTTAACTCCAGCTCCATGGGATCTGGCTTGTTTGTGCTTCGTGTACACTAGGCAAGCAGCTGAGATATTCAGTGGAATTTGCTTTTGTTTATCTGTTTTTGTTTTGTTTCTAATGTAAGGTCCCTGTGCTGGCTGGTTTTATGTTAACTTGACACAAGTTATAGTCATCAGAGAGGAGGGAACCTCAATTGAGAAAATGAC